CCAGGCAATTCTCAGTATTCGTGCCGGTTAAGCCGCGTATTCGAATCGAACTCCGACAGTTAGGCTAGATCGGGTATTATAATTCGCTTTCAAGTTATCGAACTTCAGAATTCGATTCTGAGGCTCGATGTTCAAAAATTATTGTTCAAAGTTTCAAGCTTTATAGGCTTGTCTTCGTTCAAAAATTAGATTATTGTGCGAGTTTTTGTCCTTTGGTTAGGGACCTCGTAAGAGGCGGCGCCTTTCTACTGTAGTTGGTAACTACTTTTCTGCGCTTTCTCTTTGTTAAGGGTGCTCCCTCCCTGGGCTCTATGACTTTTCTAGCAAAGTCTTCAAAGACTTTGTAGATTTTCCTGCTGGATACTAGGGCCGTTTCCGGACAGGGCCATATGTGGCCCTCTTCTTCAACGGCCTCTATTAATGGCTTTCTTAATTTCCTTAATTCTTCGCAGTTAAAGAGAATATGACTTTTGCTTTCTATTTCTCCACAGCTACAAGGTTGGTCTTCGCATAATCCTCTTTTATGGAGGTATGACTTAAAAGCACCATGTCCAGCGTATTGTTGTAACAAATTGTAAATCCTATTCCTGTGCGCAAGTCTTTCAGCCCGTAGAAGATTGTAATTTTCTAGTCATAAACGATCTTAATTTTATTCGCCGCATTACGTCTTTTCGATCCCTAATAGTTTAATAGATCTATCACGGATTATATTTTAAACTGATTTCATATAGGGGATTAGTCGGATTAAGCATTGGGTCACTCACACCTAAGATAGATCGAGTGTCACAAGTCAGGTGACTTAAGGTGAGTTCAACTCCGTTAGAAAAAAGACATTGAAACGAAAGTATCAAATGTAAAGGCGAATACACATATAACCATACGTGATTAACGAAGCGGTGGTTAGCTCTGCATCGTGGGAGTTTGTGCTTCAATAAATTCTTATTGCATTAGTTAATCCACCCTGTTACAATATATACACACTCACCCACATATACATACACAAAGGAATACGATACTTGGGTGAGAGAGTGAAAAAGAGAGAGTGAAGAAGAGCAGCAACAGAAGAAAAAAAGAGGCTGGACACAATTCGACTCTAATATAGAGTAAGACTGAGAGAGTGGGGATTGTGTATCTTTCATTCTCTCTTCCGCAACAGAGAATCGAAAAAATCTTACGTTTCACTTTTTGCCAACTGATCCTCGTGCGTCAAGCTACGATAAGAAACTTTGTTCCAAAAAACTTATCTGTGAATGCATTGAACTTGTATTCACACCAACTGATTAGGTATAAGGAATAGAGAAATTCAATCAGTTTTGTTTTTTCAAAAAAAAATAAAATACTTTACCAAGGAAAAATATGCGTTATCAAAATTTATTTAAGTAATATGGGTAAGATAATATATGAGGGACCGTAGCGATCAATTCGACTAAAGCGGTACTGATGTTGCAATCTTCATTATGCTGCCGCCATCGTTCGCGAGTATGAAACTTCCAACATTCTTTGATCCAGAATTGAGATGGGATAGGCAAGCTGAATTTGATATTCCCCGCTTCATGAACATTTGCTTCCATGCAAACGCTATCGATTCGTCCTCGCTGTAAATACGTCGATAAATGTTTTCCCGTAGGTATTTTTTTGCTAATAACATAACACAATAGACATAACAGAGTAAAATTAGTGCTCAGCGTTCATTGAATGAAAAATATATAAAATCATTATCACGGAACTTGCGCACTGTAGCGGTGGAAAAGAACATAACTGTGGTGTGGCTGTTAACTTAGTCACTGAAATATATCGGTATGAGAAAACATACTCGCGAAGTTAATCCTGTAGCTGTTGATTAGCTCTAGGTCATTTGAAAGGAACATAGCCACAGCGCGTATATAGGTCATGATTATACAGACATTTTTTCACATCACATTGAATATAAAGGATGGATTAGAGTATATGTGAGAGATAGAATATTATATGTGACGTTTATTATGATACTGCTATGTATTAAATTGTGCAACCATGTCACGTGCTCAACTTTTCTCACGGTAAACAAAAATTTTATCTGACTCGTTATTGTTTCAAAACACTTTCATGATTTTTTTAAATTATAAATTCGGTATGTAAATCATCGTTGACGTGTAAGCGTTTGAGTTCACCGATTAACCAATTTTGAAAGAGCTGGCATTAATTAATTAAAATCATGACATTAAGCCAGCACATTTGGTTTTTTCTCCTCCCTTTCCTTAGAAAAAGCATTCAAGTCGTTTCAAAAAAGAAAATTCTTGGTTAATTGCAATTTCCATGTTATTAGAATGCAGGCACAACTCCATATGATCATCATTAACATACGATCAGAGATTTCAATCATTTGGCAGTCAAAATAGATTCTGTAATGATTTACGTTTGAAGGAAACATAAAGTCGAGTGGTTAACTCGATATGTATATCACGTCATCGATCTCGAAGATTTTATGTGTCCTCTGCATTATTTAGGCTTCTGAGATCCTGTTGTCTGGAACTATTATCTACCTGGCTGAACTAAAAATTGCGCCTTGCAAAACATAAAGGCACTCAAAAATTAGATGTAAAACACACCACTTATACTACGAGTCAGTGATGCTGATGAAGGAGATATCACTTCGAACAGTGATTCGGACCATGATCCATATTATTATACTTCAGAAAATTTCTCATTAACTTTAACATCGAACAGCGATAACGAGATGTATGTAAATATAATTGACCGATTAAATTTTGATGACGGTAAGGAGGGGGATGTGGATACTGACTAGACAGCTCTATATACGAACTATTCTCGAGGTGAGATATCATTCGCTTTTTTGCATCCACACAAAATAGGCTCTTCAATTATTTATATATATTTCATTCACTAAAAAAAATTGCGTAATACTTACAAAAAAGGTTAGGACTAGACCGTTATAACTCTAATTATATTTTAATTTTCTGTTACAGTTTCTTTTCATAATCATGGAGGCTATCTACGCAGCAGTACAAACACCTAACTATCTGCCTATCAAAAGAGTAATAGTCCTGGACACTCAAGTACTTTACGTCATAACTGCAATCATCACAAGAGCCAATCATCTACTCATCCAGAATACTGAGAAGTATGAAAAATTACGCACTAGGATTGAAAAGAGTAATATATGACTAAAATATTTATGGAGGTGTCTTTTAGACTTTGTATGATATTTTTACAAAAATAATATAATATGAATACTACCTAATAAAACAATTTTTCAAAGGTATGTGAAACTTTTATCTTGTCATCATTATTTCCTATCAAAGCAATATTAATTTAATACAAAACCAATGGCATTGTATTAAATTAATGTCGAAGTCAGAATGTAACATAAAATTTTGAAACATCATTCACAAATAGCAACGAGTTATGCAGATCCTTATCAGATATTACTTTTTCCCACCCATTATTCATCTCTCACAGGCACTGGAGCGTGGGGCATGGGGGCTATTGGAAAAGTAGCACGGGGTCTTTCATCAGGCAGTGAAACACACACCGATGTTGGTATGCGGCTAGCCAAGATGCCACCATCACACGTCGATACACCCGGGGCCGATAAAAATATGCCGGTACACCACGGTGACTTCTTTAGTGACTGCTGGTATGAAAGAAAATAGTTGCTAGGATCCCTATAGCCCCTACGACTGCGGTCACTATATTTATATATTCGTCTGAAACATACCAATATGTTTAAGTAGTGCCGGGTAAACAGAGATAGAGATTTTCCGTCTGATATGGAATTTCACAAAACCAATTTCCTTATGAAATTTTCATACTTAATGATAGAAATAAGGTAAAATTTTGTTTTAATAACTATTTTTTCAATTTTTGATATGTTCGTCACGCTCCCTGGGTGCTTTCCATCATAATTTCCAAGAAATAAACATATATTGATATTTATTTTTTTAATATCTAATATACTGTTTTATTTTACTAAAACATCGAATTTGTTTCTCTAAATAACAAGTAAATTACAAATTAAGTATCGTTAGCGTGACGTCATTTCTTTATTCTGTAAGATCATAAGTATAAACACTTGATGTAATTCCTAGTCAAATCATTAACTGTTGTATTCATTATGTTATTTGCGAATGTTTAATCCACATATTACGCTCGTCTTTTAAGATTGTGACTTGAAGCATCAAGTGGAAAGCAAAGTTGAAGCAAAGTTGAAGCATCACGTAGATCTAGTCACGTTAATTAAGATAATACAAATTGAGACAAAATTTATAAATCTGTTTTCTATAGCGCAAAGGGTAAGAAAGTAGGAGAAAGACATGGTGCGCATGAATTCTCCACGTCGTCACGCACAACACGTGAAAAATTACGATTGCATACGCGAACAGAACGTTCTTGATTGTTAACCGATAACCTAAGTTGTCGACTTATGGTTACATCAGTCATTTCAGTTTGCTGTGAAAACTCACGAAACGTGCGAAATAGCTTGCGATGGACTAAGTTCTTATTTCCTTGGACTCTGCATGTGCCTTTTGCGAGAATAGCAATTTTTTCAGAATGCGCTCCTGCAAGTACTTGCGAAAAGTTTGTCTCTCTTTTTCCCTACATTGCGTTCTCACTTTCTCTCCCTATCTCGCCGCTAATAATACTCTGTTTCTAATTCTATTAAACTGCTTTTTCGCCAAGTTTATTTGTTTACATCTTGTCTGAGTTAGCAGTTATTCACCATTGTGTTAACAGGATTTAAACAATTTCTGCGCTCTATCCCTGGACGAAGACATCATCGTGAGCAGCAGAGCAATATCATATTGGGTTAGCTTAACCCGTAGCATAAGCTATCCTCGTTTCTTTTTTCTAACCCTAAGCTTTATGCTAACGGAAATCGTTTCGCGATCAAAAACCCCATTACAATATATACAATTTATTCTTGATTTACAATAAATTTATTTGTTTATTTATTTATTTATTATATCTTTATTAAATTAATTCATAGAATTACCTTTTAGATTTAGAAAGTGATGAATCCAGATTATTCAGTAAAACCAGGGATGGACGTTCAGGAATTCCGCTTACGTGGTAAAGAAATGATTGAATATATTTGTGAACTCGTTACTAATATAAAACTTCGACGAGTAACGCCAGACATTGGGCCAGGTTATTTGAGACCAATGTTATCTGCTGAACCACCATATCTTCCTGAATCATGGGATGAAATCATGAAAGACGTTGAGTTGAAAATCATGCCTGGAGTAAGTTTCTTATATTAAAAACCCTCTATTTTGTATACTCCATTATTTATATCCCTAAAAAATTTTGGCACAGATTACGTATTGGCAGCATCCACGTTTTCACGCTTACTTTCCAGCTGGAAATTCATTTCCTTCCATCCTTGGAGACATGCTGTCTGATGCCATTGGTTGTATTGGATTTTCTTGGGTGAGATTCTTCTAGGTCTAACTATTTATTACTTAAAAATTGTAATATATTATATTATATACATTTTATTAATACAGCTTATGACTGAAATTATTTAAAGCACATTTCTGGTGAAAAAGTATATAATACTGTTTAGAATGTTATGAGCTGGTTTTTAAATTAATAATCAAAAGGCTCACTTAAGAAAGAACTTTAAATCTTGATTATTTGCGATGTGGGTGGAGTAAATAATTATTTATTTATATCTTGAAAATCTGTTGAAGGAGTTATTTGTTGACCTAGAGCTATCGTACTGATATTCGAGTAAACTTTAGACAAATCTCACTTTTAGAACAACGTGTATTGAAAGCATTAGAAGGTTTTACATGTTTCGTTCACAACAAAGTTAATAACTTGAATAGGAGTGACACCAGTAGATAAGCAATGTATGTTCTGGGACACAAAGGAGCCGACAAAGGATGCCGCCAATGTATAAGGGATATGTGTATGTTCTGGAACACAAAGAGGCCGCCCGATGAAGATGTCGCGATAGTGACACCTTTTAATCGCGATAAGGTGAGACCCCATGCTGAGTGTTTAAAAGACATTTACATTTGAAGTACCTTTGACACCTTCCGCGTGCCAGTGGGCCCCTTCGACAAAGTGAGACGCTATGTTGAGTGGCTAAAAGGCATTTGATGTACCTTTGACACCTCCCGCTGAGTATCTACAAGGTAATCGATGTAGCTTATGCATTGAAGATGCGTCGCCAATGCATAAGGTACATGTGTATGTCCTAAGACAGAAGCCAGTGGGCCCTTCGACAGAGTGCCGCCCCCCACCCACCCACCCACCTACAGAGGTTGTTAAGGTAGGATGCTATAGAAGTCGGTAGGGTGCTGGGTAAGCTATATGATGGTCTCTCTCTCTCTTTATCCCTCACTGTCGCTTTCCTTCGATAGTAGGGCGCTTAGTAAGCTTATGCTTGCTGAGTGTGGGCCCTCGGAGAGGGGGTATCGTCTCTAGCTTGCTAAGCGCGTACGCCGTATAGTGCGGTTGCTGTTCTCTCTCTCTCTCTCTCTCTCTCTCTCTCTCTTTCTTTCTCTCTCGCTCTCCTTCATTAGTAGGGTATTTAGTAAGCTTATGCTGACTAAGTGTAGGCCCTCGGCTGCCTACCAATGGGTCCTTTCGACGCACTCTAGCAGAGTTCTCTCTCTTTCTCCGATATCGCTATACCTAATGCTAAGGGCTAAGATGCAATACATGTACCTTTTTATTGAAGATGAGTTCTAGCATCGGCCGCTTGAGTTTCGCTAACAATATATCACATCCTGAGTATCGAAAGCGAAAATCGATGTACCTCTTCCATTAAAAAAATACGTTCGGTAATTTTGAGTGGAGTTTTGAGAGTAGGAAACTTTTGGGAGGAACGAAATAAAAACGTCTTCATTTTCAGAAAATCTTTCATTAGTAGACTAGGTCTTAAAGAGAAGACTTCTAAATAAGTGAGTAGAGTTAAGTGATTAAAAAAAAAGTGCATCATGAATTCAGTGGAAATTATACGAACGATATGATTGTATTCATGGCGAATGTAAGTAAAAAACAATATTATTGTTAATATTATAATTCAATTTATATATTTTTTTTAGACTCCTCCAAACATGTTGGCGAGCATTCCGACAGCACTACTTTATAATTTATTGTTGGCGATATTATCAGTCGTGAGTAATTATATTATATATTTATTGTTAATTATTATAATCTTGTATATTTTTTTCAGCTTCATTCAGTCATGGTCGATCCTGCTCAAAAGCTGTGGATTGGTCAGCTGCTGCAGGGGGTGATCGAGGTAAGAAATTTTACTTTTTTTATAATTTGCTTAATATAAATATATAAATATTTGTTTGTTTTTTAGTTGCAGCAGATATTGGAGTTTGCTGAGTGCTCAGCAAGACAGCGGGATGATGCCCAAAGAACCACTGTTCAAAGGGCTGCAGTCGAAAGGGCTGAAGCCAACAGGCGCTTAGTAAGCTTATGCTTGCTGAGTGTGGGCTCTCGGAGAAGGGGTAGCGACTCTAGCTTGCTAGGCGCGTTCGCCGTATACTGTGGATGCTGCTCTCTTTTTCTCTCTTTCTCTAAGTAAGCGCTATAGTAGTTTCATAAGATTTCGGGAACCTTTCGATCTCACAGTTAATTTTATTTGAATATTAATTAATGAAACTTTACATTGAAAATTATACAGTCTGTCTATAATCTTTATTCTCAGTAGTTGACATCGCTATATTGGAATATTGAGTTGAATTTTTATATGTAATATTGTCAACTTCATCGATACCTTCCACTTCACATTGCTTCCGTCTAGCTTTTATCCATAAAAACAATCTTTGTGCATTTGTAACGGCACATACAAAGTTAGCTGGTTTATTGTAATGATATGTGCATATTGCTTCTAATGGGTAAGGTAATGCGATCATTGATGGACATCTCATCTCGCTTTCAAGTTCTAAAATTTTTCTATAGAAGGAAAAAAGTTTCTATTTAATAATGATTTTAATTTCTAACCAAAATTAAAAATAATTTTTATACTTACTTTTCGCGTAATATTTTTTCCTTTTACATAAATATTTTTAGAATTATCTAAATAATTGTTTAGTACACGTGCTCAATTTTTATATGGAATAATGCCGGATCTCCATAATAACCCATGATGACACGTTTCGAAGAAATGATTCACTTTTCGATACTTGAAAGGAAGTTGAAACCAATGATATGGTGGTTTGAAGAAAAATACAGTTAGAACAGTATCTACATCTAATGGTCAATATGCGAGTTCTTTACAAACAAATGTCTTGTTTATACTTTGAAAGCCTTGGAAATCTATTACAAAATCCATTTGAAAAGATACTGAAGTTAATGTGAACTTTACAAGATCCTAAAACCGTTACGAGAGTAGAGGCACGTATTTGTTCTATACAAAGCCTATACCTCACCATTCGAAAGTATAGGGCGTCATAGTCACTATATAGTATGATTATAAATAGTTTGTATTAAATTCCAACAATATATATATTTTATTATCTTTTTTATTGAAAAGCATTATATACGTTGATTATATAATGTCGGATCAATTTCAAACTAATTTTTTAACATCACCACTAATTGGATTATATTGTACAATAAGATCGTGTAATATTAAGCAGTAGGCTGCAGTATATTCAGGAAAATCAGTTCGGGTTTGAAATTCTAGGCTATAACGGGGTTTTGACCCGGCGCGGGTCACTCGTTATATAAATTACGAGGGAATTGGAAACAGCTCGGTGTAGGCCTCGTAATAGGCTGCGCAAAGCCTAACCCAGCAGCAACAGGAACGTCGTGGTGCGGCGTCCGTTACCTTGGCCCGCGGAGAGCGTCGTGTAGTCCTATGGACGCTTTGGAGCGATCACGAAATTTAGGTGCGAAAGCCGGACGAAACGGGATTGTTTACGATAGGTAACAAGGAACCGCAAAGGAAGAAAACAGATATACGAACAGCATTGAGTTTACTACAGAGAATAGTACAAAGTTAGTACGCAGCGTAAGCGGGAGACTAAGCGGCGAAAAGCTAGCGAGAGAGACACGTATTCGAGGTGGTACTTACAATGACGTCTCGGAGTCAGCCCTGGAGACGGTGTTCTCGGCCTCACACGTGGTCTGCGAGGACGCGCAGTACGCACTCGAATACGGTCAAAAGGCGGGCGGCTTTGAAGGCTCGCACGCGTAGTCGCTAGAATTAGCTCGCCAAAAACTCTGGGCACTCTCGGCACCAAACCTCGCACCGATTGGGCACTCGCGTACTCGTCAGAAACACCGCGGAAATAGTCGCAGATCACAAAAGGTCGCAAGCACGTATATCCGCTCGTCACACGTCCACGTGCTTCGAAGTCGCCGGTACAAGTGAGAGTTCTTATCGCGGGGCTTTTTCCTACCCCACTCTCCTACTCGCGCGCGTAGCGCCGGCCTCCCGAATTCTCTCTCTCTAGCTCGCCCTCTATTAGCGCTCTCTCTGACTTACCTTTGGCTGCCATACAAGTGAGATAATTATGTGGCAAATATATTTATATAAAAATAATTATAATTATGTGTGGGGAGAGAGAGACATAACGAGGGTCTGGCCGCTCGTTATAAGGCGAACATCTACTAGTGCGCTTTTTAATGTTTCATTTTCTTTGGAGCAGTCGGTATCTATTAGCAGCACTTTATTAATAAAATTTTTTTTATTGAGTAACGGCTCGTTTTTTTCATCAGAGTAAGCGTTTTGAAAATTGGTATACATATCGTAGAGAACAGCATACTGATTTTGATTGATATTCAAATTGAGATTTCCATACGGATAGCATTGTGAATTGATAAATAGCTTCACATTACTAATATTACAATGACCAAAATTACTAGAATTCACACTCGCTGAGCGTTTACGTTTAGTTTGAAAAGCTAAAATAACAAAGCGAGGCCTTTCCAATTGATTGGAAGTCTTAACACTCCAAACATGCTTTGCTGTGCATGGTAATTTTGGATACTCATACATTTCCCAAGTACGATAACTCATTGTAATTGCACGATGTCGTCCAATCTGATTGAGTAATTTGATTTTTTCTTTGTCTGCAACCGTCACATATGGCATCAACCATTCCACCTTAGTTAAATTAATGTTCGATTTTTCTGAAGCAGCAGGACTCCCTATTGGAGCATACAAAATAGCATTCAAATCATCTCTTGATCTTGTAAGAATAAGTTCATGCTTGACATTGACTACAATTTTCCGATAATCTTCTGCAAAGCTCATCAACATACTAAGAGGTGTAGTAACATCAAGAAAACCTAGAGCATTACATATTAAAACTTCATTGTTATCACCATGCCATCCGGCATTTTCAGCGATAGAGCTCTGACATGGATTGAGTGAAAGCTAATTTTTTATGAGAGTTGTTAAGCTTACATTTTTAACTTTATCAATTTCAATAGCATTTATTTCATATCATATT